AGATCATGGCGAGCGAAGAAATGGAGTCGGAGGAGGGACCTCAAGCTGATCATCATGAACCACTACCAGTTCGTGATCTAGGAGAAGATGGACTACCGGAAGAAGACCCTCATGCTGAACGACCTCTACCTCTTGAACGACCAGGTAGCATTGAAAGCCTTGTTCGGAGAGCGCACTGCGGACTAGGACAGCCAGGAAACCAAAAACTAGCAAACATCCTGAAGACCGCCAAGGCCTCCACGGAAGCCGTCAACATCGCCAAGAATCTTGTGTGCCCGACTTGCATCAGACACAAAAGAGTCGATGGGGCACGACAGGCCGCTCCTCCTAGACAGTTGAAACCAAACCAGGTGGTGGGAGTGGACACCGTATGGCTACCGGGAGTTGAACCTGGCGGCAAACTCAAGATGGCCCTCAACTGCGTTTGCTGGGCTACTCGATTTCAGTTGACGATCCCTGTAAAGGACCACACACCTCAAGGAGCAGTTCGGGCATTTCACCAGTGGCTCAGAGTTTTTGGACCACCAGAGGCCATCTATTGTGACCTTGGAAAAGAGTTCAAAGGACACTTCGAGCTCATGGCGGACCAGAACGACATCTACCTGGACCCAGGATCTTTTAGAGATGCCAACTCAAAGAGCCATCACGGAACGAGCTGGTAGAAGCTTTAAAGAAGTCCTCTCAAAAACGCTAATGGAAGCAGGTTGCTCATCTTGGGACGAGTGGCACCTCATCGTGGACGAGGTCAACGCTACCATGAACCGCCTGTCCAACACATCCGGCTTCAGCCCCATTCAACGGATGCTTGGTTACAGTCCCAGACTTCCAGGAGGCATCTTTCAAGGAGGTGAAGGTAGCATTGGAGTGATGTCCCGTTACCACGCAGGTGATGCACAAGTTCAACGATCCACAGACATTCGAACCCAAGCCGCTGTTGCATTCCATCAAGTCGAGTGCGAACAAGCCTTGAAACACTCGGTCTATGCAGGCCCCAAACGGTTCTATGACTATGAGGTGGGTCAAACGGTCTACTTCTGGAGAAAGGGAATGGAACGACAGAAGAAGGACTCTCCAGCCTTTTGGCATGGGCCTGGCAAGGTCATCCTCACGGACCTCCCGAACACAATATGGGTCAGCTAGCTCCCGAACACCTTCGTCCCATAACCAATGACGAAAAGTTCCAGTTCATGGACTTCTTGACCGACATTGTCAATACCCAGAAGGAGATCCAGAACCACAAGATTAGAAACTATATCATCCTCGACGAGAAGCCCCCGGCCATCGAGAATGCACCCTTACCAGAACAAGAAGAAGATCGTGATCGACCTGGCGGAGAGGAACCACCACCACCAAAGAAACCTCGATACCGAATTGAAGGAAAAACAGCAGAGACCGAGGTCGAGTTCAAACCGGAAGAAAGGGAAACAGCCTTGGAGGGGAGACCTCGACCATCCGGAACCTATGTCTATGTCGCCCAGGATGGATGACTACACACCTACCGAACCAGGTGACCAAGATCCCCACGAAGAGCGTGAGAGAAGGATGATTGAAGATGAGGACAACCACAAGCCCCCGGAGAGACCCACGTCACCATGGTCTACTCCAGTGATCCGCGAGAGAGTGGAGGACCCTGAACCACCAGTCAAACGAATCAGGACAGAAGCTCTGGAACTACTGTATCAAGAACTCGTCCGGCTTCGACCACAAAAGGGCAAGGAGATTGTACTCAACAAGCTCCCCGCCAAGAAGCAAGAGAAATTTCTCAAGGCCATCCTCAAGGAGGTGACCAACAACCTGAGCTCAGGTGCCTACGAGGTCCTCGATCGGGGTGAATCTGAACATATCAGGAGAACCAAAGCGGAGAAGATCATGAGGTCCCGCTACGTCCTCACGGAGAAGGGAGTCGAGGTGGAGGAAGTCGAGAAGCTCCAACAAGACGGCCTACTCATTGAGGACAATGATCCATCTCTAAGGCCAGACACGTCATGAAAGGCTTCTCGGAACAAGGTGCCGAAGACCTTGCCTCGACGACCCCTCAGGTCGCAAAAGAAACTGTTTTCTTCACCTTACAAGTGATATCCAGTATGAGATGGGAACTCGGACACCTGGACTTCACCCAAGCATTTCATGCTGAAAATCTGATAGCTCGGGAACTTTATGCTGAACTCCCTCCTGAAGGACTTCCAGGATATCATCCACGGCAACTCCTACGCTTGAAGAAAACTTGCTATGGACTCGCCGATGGCCCTTACGCCTGGTACCAACACATCACCAGGGTTCTCCAGGAGTTGGGGTATGAGAAGAGCCGAGCCGACCCATGTCTTTTCTACCTCCGATGCCGCCAAACCAGAAACACGGTCGGCATCATCGCTCTCGCCACTGACAACATGGTCCATGGAGGTGGAGCACAACATTGGAAGAACATGAAGTGGCTCCAACAGAACTACAAGATGGGCAAGTTCACCACGGGAGAAGGGAAATTCACTGGCAAGGAACTAACTCCTGAAGCCAACGGGTCCATTCGAGTTACCCAAAAGAACTACATCGAGAACTACATCAAGAAGATCCCTCTCAGTCGTGAACGTGGAGCTCAAAAATACTCTCGATGCTCGGAAGAAGAAATCGGACAGCTTCGGCAGCTCATTGGAGGCCTGAGTTGGGTGGCCAAAGAATGTCGACCAGACATTGCTGGACGAGTCTCACTTCTTCAGCAAACTATGCCTCACCCGATGATCCGAGACATTGTAGAAGGAAATAGCATCGCAAAAGACCTCCGAAAAACCTCTGACTTGGGATTAAGAATCCAACCAATACCACTCTCCAAGCTCAGGATTGGAGTAGCTACCGATGCTTCTTGGGCCAACGCCGGTCCCAATGCCGACTGTGACAACACCAAGGACTACTGGACGGAAACACCCACAACCTGGGTCCGACACCATGTCGCACCACGTCGCTTAACCTTCCATCCCGGTTCAGTGATTGATCCAAGTGGCCCAGATCTGCGCCAGATCACTAGAGACCGGAGAACACAAGCTGGAAGCCAGATCGAGCATGACAGGTGGGATGGGACAGATGGTTTCAAAGACCTAGGTGCCCAATGGACAGGTACCACCACCTTCTTCAAGTCCAAGGACAAGAAGGTCACGAACCAACCCCTGTCTGAACGATTCCTCCAACTGGCTAAGAAACACAGTCAAGGAGGATACCTCCTTTTCTACTACCACCAGGATAGAGAAACCTCTGACCACAAGCAGGACATCACGATTGCTGGTTGGAAGAGCTATAAGCTCAAACGCTGCACAGTGAACACCCTGTCGGCAGAGTGCCAATCGATGCTTCAGGGCATCGGCAACCTCCACTGGCATCGCTTCTTGCTGGCCGAGCTGTTCGATGTCAATCTTCAGATTGATAAATGGGAGTCACAGCTGGCCAGCTTTCCTTTTGTTGCAGCCACAGACTCAAAGTCCCTCTACGACACGATGACCAAGTGTCGCAACACCTCAGCCCACATAGATGACAAGCGCACTGGCATCGACCTCACCATCCTCAAGAGTGACTTGGCACAGTCATCGGGTCAGGTGAGGTGGGTCGGAGGAGGAAACATGATTTCGGACCCTTTAACTAAAAAGATGACGCCGTCGTTTTTGAGAAGGGTCATGGAGATTGGCCAATGGTCGCTGAAAGAACAGGGCCATACGGAGATTTCATCCAATAGAGAGTAGCTGCGATGTGAATAGCATGTCGCTTTGGGTGAAATCACGATTCCGAAATGTTTAACTCTCGAGGTGGCCCGACGCGGCCCTATGTGCATGGGACAATGCACATGTGAAAAGGTCTTGCTGCCCACAGTTTCATTCATGAATGCGATGTAGTGCTGGAGATCTGTGGCTACATTATGGGAAACAATATGAAACAGTGATGTCCAAAGCGCGTTGTGTTTTACCAAGCAAGGCTGATTGCCGACAAAGGTACAAACCCGTGATTCCAAGGAGCTTCTGTTCAGTTTCATCTTTAGGCTTGAAAGACCGTGAAGCTTTCATTGGAAGGACCTGGGAAAGCATAGGTGATGGAAATGAGAGAAGGCACGTTGCAACAAATTGGGTGACAGTTGTTTGGCCACTATTGACTCTTCCTTTAATGGGCTTGTTGACAGGGGATGATTGTGCAGATTCCAATCGCTTTGCTGGCCGTCTCTCTAAGTTTCCTGCGCTTGCTTTTGGAGGCCCTTTGATGCGCCCGGTTTTCTTTTTGCTGCAAGTAACTGCGGTCGAGACAACGACCATGAGTCACTAGCTCGTGCCTGCTTATCCAGTCAGTGCACTGCGGATTTATCGTTCGTTTTTTGGTGGACGCGGTCGTTTGTTCTTTTATAGGTACTTGTTGTGTGCGGAGCCGCAACTGGAGCTCCTATGTTGTTGAATTCAACAATTTTCTGTGGAGCCGACAGCGCATGACCACGAGAGCCGAGTCGCGGCATCTTCGTTGGTGAAGGTATAGTTCTCCAGCCGAGCATCTCTCAATCAAGATGTTGGAGTTCTTAAGCTATCGAGACGCCTGCTATACTTTTAAGGTGTGAGGTTTCATTGCGCATAGAGTATGCAACATACTAAACTTGTAGGTAGGGCACCATAGTCACTTTGTTGACTTTGCCTTGCAAGAAGAATGAATAGCGATATGACTCCCTGTGTATGGAGTGTGTTATATGTTCCCACCCGTTCCCACGGTGGATCAACAAACAAGAGCTTGCGTTGAACCTGTGACTGTCAGTAGAGCGTTAGGTTTGGAGCCTTCTGGAACTTTGGGGCCGCCTACTTTAGGGATGGTTAGCTCCCAGCGTGCTGCTGATGCAGGTTCTCACAAAGGTTTCTTTGCAAACTGGGGTTTCGTCGGGGATGGGCAATCAGGCCGTACATAACCAAAAATATCTATATAGTGTGTGTTTGTGTTCTATTCTAGGTCCCAGAACTTGGAGACCTACTCATCAACCGCAGCTTTGGCTCGTCTTCTCCGGGCAAAGAGAAGTTTTTCTTCCAAGTCCTGCAAATGAGATCCCAGCTTTTCTTGAAGCGATTCCATCTCAAGGTGTTATCAAAATGGCCAGGGCCGCCGAGTCTTGGAATTGATGTCATTTCGTAAGTTGGCGCGCCAGTGATGTCCACACTGGTGGGGCAGTAGTACCCAGCAGCCATCTCATCAAAGCCGGGGTTCGGTGGGCCCACAACCCTCTGTGACGGAAAAAGCAATGTCAGGCCGAGGCGCCTGCCATCTCGCTGCTGCGACTTAAACAGCTAGACGACGGATGGCCCGAGAGCATTTAAGTGCAGAGGTGCTCTGGTGTAAGGTATGCTTGCGCTGCGATGAAACAGTAAAGAGAAGAGAGTTGTAAGATGGTGAGAGAGAAAGTGAAAAGGAGGATGAAAAACAATTGAAAAGAAAAGGATGTTCACAGGAGGAATCAAAACAAATAGTTCAGAACCCTTTTGAACGGTTGTGGGAAACCGCCAACCTAGCAGCAGAAGGGAAAAATAGTTCAGAACTGTTATGAACTGCCAGGGAAACTGCAAACTTAGCAGCAGAAATGCAAGAGCATTTTAGAACCGTTCTGACCGTTCATTGTAACACCAAGCATAGCAACAGAAAGCAAACATATTTTAGAACCGTTCTGAACCGTTCAAGGAAAACGGAAACATAGCAGCAAAACCGCCAGAAGATGCAAACAGCATTTCAGCCGTTCAAGGAATCTGCAAACTCAGAAGCAGGAAGGCAAACCCATTTTTGCACCGTTCTGAAACATTCATGCAGGAAACAGCCAACAGTAGAAAGGCAGAACCGTTCCGAGTCTCAGGGAAACAGCCAACTTAGCAGCAGAAAATTCAGGGAAACAGCCAACTTAGCAGCAGACAGCTCAGGGAAACAGCCAACGTAGCAGCAGACAGTTCAGGGAAACAGCCAACTTAGCAGCAGAAAGACCAGGGAAGCAGCAGCAGAAAGTTCAGGGAAACAGCAAACTTAGCAGCAGAAAGTTCAGGGAAACCGCCAACGTTTCATGAAACGTCAAGACCAAAAGCCAACGCGACAGCAGCAAAGTAGCGGCGCACACTTTTGCTGTGTGGTTGGCTTCCTATCATGGTCTTTTGATCTTTGATCTCAAGTCCATAGTCTGACTGGGATGGTACCCAAAAACCACCACCGATCCCGTCAGAAAACCATGTAGGAAGACAGACGCCGGGCGCCCCGGATTAAAGCCTGCCGGGTTAGGATGAGTTAGTAAGTTCATCCGCCCAAGTATTCAAGTCCCTTTTCACTTATCACGTGTGATGGGGCCAATTGGCAGCCCCCCTGGTGTAGCGAAAGGACAAGTTGCATCAAGATGGCCATGGTAGGCATCTTCCTGGCCGATTGGTTGAGCATAGTAAGGATGTTCCCCTGGTCATCGGAGATCAGAGGGATCCGGAACTGAAGTCGGTTGCGGACCCCCTTTTCCAGCAGAAGGGACGCCAGGAGAAGGGAGTCCAGCGTCTCCAGCGAGGGGATGTTGGCCCTGGGCCATCCCCCCACATAGCTGCCCTCATCTCCAGCGCTGACATCACTGGCCCCTCTCCAGCCAGTAGGGGCAGTAGGGGGTAGGTTGGATAAAGTGGGCGCTCAGCAGTGTCCAGATCAACTTCGCAAAGGTCCGGATAAGTCGATTTGGTCGGCCACTGGATTTGACCGCTCCCTTCCATTGCCATACAGGTTGGAGAAGGGGTTTTGCCAAGGGGCAAGTTGATGTTGCCCATTGGAATCACATCCCCCTCACAATTCGAAGGAGGATGCCGAAGACCTTGTTGTGTTTTCTTTATCCATTTGCACAATTGGCCCAGCCGGCTGAATCACCAACCCCAGCCAGGTGTTGATGGGCCCAAGGAGGGTCTTCTTCCAGCTCACAGGAGTGCCTAAGGCAAGCAGGTTGCCAGAAGGGCACAAGTGTAGTGTGGAGCCATGGTTGAGCGAAGGAGCCAGCGTGCAGAAGTCATCCACGAAGACAAATGCCCAGTCCACCATGGAACAAGTAGTACATGAGGCGCAAGAGCAGTGCGGCCATTCTGCCCCACTAGAGCTGTGCTGAGGCCATGCCATATAGGCGCCGACTTTGTTGACCCACCAGTCACCGTCGATCTGGGCTATCTGGTACCCCACTAATTTTCATGGCGAGGCCATTCGATGTAGCGACCCTTTCCTGGCCTATAGCATCTGCGCCCAGAGGGAGGAGTCTGGTGGGGGCGGAGCCAGTGAGCGCATGGACACAGTCCATGACTGTGCGAGCACGGACGAGTTCCCCTTCCACTCCGATCCAAAACATCACTCGCAGAACGAGGCAAGGAAGTTTTGGTCCTCTGCGAACCCTATGTGGCCGTCGTGCTGCTGCACTCCATAATCCCATCCTTCCCTTGAGACTGTTTGAGGCCGTACGCCGCGCCCTGGTTGCTTTGCATCAGACATCAAGGCCACCTTTGAAGAAAAGAAACTGATGGGCATGGTCGGCGGCCCATTTACCGGAGGCAGCCCATTGCACAGTAGACGAACAGAGCCCAGGCCCCATAGGCTCCCCCCCAACGTCCCTCAACGGTCGGGTGCGAAACTCCCAATGGGGACCGTGACTTGTGGGTCCAAAAGGGCAAGTTCCACAGTGGCCTGTCTGCGCACTCTTCGATGCGGGGTGTCTGGCATTTGGTGGGGGAGGCGAGGCCGTAGGCCCTCGTCGGGGCTTCTTCGGTGTTGGGGATGCCTCATCCGAGGGCCTGTGCTTCTTTTCCGGAGCCCGCAGGCGGCTGGGAAGTGACGTGCCCTCCACATAGTCGTAAATGGCTTGGGTCAACCCCTCCATCATCGGCCAGGGGCACTGGCTGAGGTCATATATATTCAGGGTGTTCCGATCCGCAGGGGGTTGGCGCTAAGCGTGGTAGCCCATCTGGATCTTCGGGGCGTTCCAAGAACGACCCGCAAGCTGCGTCGCCCAACCAGGCCAGGTCTGCGATGACCATCTGGCGGAAGAGGAGAAGGTGTCCGCCTTTTCCTTATTGGCGCTTTGGTTGTCTGGTTCGCACTGGGGGGGAGCTCCAGGCTTGGGGAACCAGCAGGATGCTCCAAGTCCGGCGCTTGGGTCCCTCCAATCGGTTGTGCAGGGCCGCCGCACGCAGGCTGTGAGGAGGTGGCTGCTTGGCTTTGACTTGCTGTTCCCCTTCCCCTTGCCCTTCTTTGGGTTTGGGTAGGGGCTGCTTTGGACCCGTTCGCGCACCTCCCGCATCCAGAGCAGGCTGAGCTCTCGAACCTTCCTCATTGCAGCCTTGAGGGAGGCGCCTTCACATAGACCAGCGGGCGGCACCAGACCATTTGCACCAATCACATCCAGATCAGCATCAAAGTGGGCATACTGCGGGAAAGCCTGCGTACGCATCACCAGGGTGTTCCGGAAGACCAGGTGCATCTGTTCCAGCTGGGAGCGGGTGGCTGGAGCCACACGTTCTTCATCTTCTTCTTCCTTCTCCCAGCCGTCAACCGTCGCTCGGCGGCGAGTCTTGACCGGGCGCTCATCGACCTCAGGAAGTGCACTGATGATGCGCCTGGAAGTGTCCAATCTCACCTTTGGCACAGGCCTTGAAGTACTTCTTCAAGTAACCGTCGCTCCCCTGAGCCGCCAGCTTGGGAGGAGGGAGCTTGGTGATCCGTTCCCAATCCACTTGCATCTGTTTACGGTCACACAAGGCATCAATGCCGGTGAGGCGGCCGGTAGGGAGGCCCCGGAGTCCGTGTGGCCTAAAATTTCACGGGCACGCCGCACACACTGTAGCATGCGCGTGGCAATGGCCTCCTTCTTGTCATCCGGGATGGCATCCGGTGGGCGAATGATCGCCATGGTGGCTCCTGGTCCAGCCCAACTTTCAGAGCCCACGGCGTCTGGTCAGGCCAGACCAGGGTGTGGAGGGTGGGGTTCAAAAAAAGGCCAGGCATTTTTGCTAATGAAATGTATTCATGAGACATAACCTGCTTTGCGCAGGCTGCAAGCACGTACTATAAGTAAGTAGCGGCGCACATTTTTGCTGTGTGGTTGGCTTCCTATCATGGTCTTTTGATCTTTGATCTCAAGTCCATAGTCTGACTGGGATGGTACCCAAAACCGCCACCAAATCCGAAGGTCGGGTACCTCCCAGTCGGTACCAATTCGTTCTGGATGGTCTTCCTCTTCTCCTTCAGTCGGTGGACGCTGTTGACATCCAAGAGGCCGAACTTGGTGGGCTTGAGGAGACGGGGGTGGACGAAAGGTAGCATGTCTGCTGCTGCTGCTGGTTGCTGCTGCTGGTTGCTGGTTGCTGCTGCTGCTTGCTGCTGCTGGTTGCTGCTGCTGCTGGTTGCTGGTTGCTGCTGGTTGCTGCTGGTTGCTGGCTGCTGGTTGCTGGCTGCTGGCTGCTGGCTGCTGGCTGCTGG